ACGAAATACTTTCAGTCCTAAGGTCGGATCCTGCAGTTGAAGATTTTCTCTGGCAGGTACAATTGTGTCTTATAATTTGGCTATTGGAATTTTTTATCTTACAAATGTGAAAGGCGGCACTCTTCGGTTTCATTTGTAACTTCAGCTGTCTTGTTTGTTTTTCATACTTGGTTTAACGAAATTCTGTGTTTTCCGAATTTTTGTCATCCCAGGAAAGTGCTATTGTCCTTTCCAAACTCTTGGTTCCTCAAATATTTGAGAAAATGGCACTGCAAGATTTAAGAGCACTTGTGGCAGAAAGGTCATCAATCAAGACATACATTACAGGGGAAACAATAGAAGTGTCTAACCAATCTGTTGGCTTCTTGTTGGAAGGGTTCATTAAACCTTTACTTGTTCAAGAAGAACTCATCACATCACCAGCTGTTCTTTTACCTTCACAAGGGAATCAAAGTTTCAAGAATGCAGATAAATCAGGTGACATCATCATCTTTCCAAGTAACTATGTATTCTTAAGGGTCCATTTGTTTCACGAAAAATAACTTCATTTTCCAAAAACAACAGTCGGACCCTTGAATTCCTTATCTTTCTCCTTTGGTGTTGCTTTCTGTCCTTGCTTCCTTCCCTCCTAGACCAAATACTAACCATGATTATTATTAGTATTTGGTACTGTCTGCAAAGACATAAGAGCATTATTAGCTTTATAATAGGTGGAGAGGCCAAACTTTAATATAAGAAGACAGAAAACCGAATTAGTAGATCGTATTTCAATTACTATGCGACCATAAACCCGTCCATGGGACTAGTTGGGCTAAATGGAACTTGAATACAATTCCAGAAATCAAGCATTTTATGCTCCTTTATTGAACTAAGAAAACCAAGTTGACTTGTGATATTTAATAAACCCAGGGGGTACATTAGCCAGCTTTTCTCATCAGCGACCAGGGAATCAACTTGAGACTAGAGGAAGCATTATATATCAAGTTGAGACAAGAGCAAGGGTGATTATTTTTTATAATGCAGCACTTGAAGCCAATAGAGTATTGCGGAAAAATTCATCCTCATTTAGCCATTCACATAAAACATTAAGTAGAGAACATGGAGGTCTTATGAGTTGGCCTGAACATTTCTTCAGCGAAAGACAACATACACAAAATCGTGAAGGAAGTGATCGACAAGTAAACAGATTATCTGCAAGAGCCATGCAGTTAAGCATCTTTGGCAGCATGGTACGTCAAGCGGAAGCATTGATTACTTCTACATCAAAATACACTTTTTTTCCTTTTGGATCTGACTGCATTCTTTTATGTTACGATGAAAAGGTTGATTTGCCACGGCGAAGCAGGAGTTTGTCAAGGATGAATCTATCTCATCCAGAATACAACCCGTCATATGATCGCCACCCACTGGTCTCTGTCAGATCAGAAGGATCTGTTACACTGAGGAAGAATCTCAAGGAAGGGAGACAGTTCACAAGACGGGTACCCCCAGCGCAAGTGAAGGACACAGACTCGAAAGAGGGTCACGTAAATGATGATTCAAGTGATGATGAGGATGAAATCCTGGTAAGAATCGATTCGCCTAGCGTACTATCATTCAACCAGGCTTCTTAAAGGTTTGTGTATGTCCTCTCTGTTCATGGTTGTGAGTTCTACTGTTTTTATCATTATAGGATTGTTGTTATGTATTATCCTTTTGTTTGTAACATAATTATCTGTATTTTGGTTATGAATCAACTCTTTGTTCTTTGATTGAACTTTATTGGTCAACAAGTCCTTTTCGTTTAGAAAAGAGGGTGCTGGTTTTCTGAATCAGTCCTGAAACAATGGATTTTACATCAGTTGTGGAATTAAGTTTATATATTATCTTTTATTTGAAAATCTTGGTTGATCCTCTAATTCTTGTTTAATTTTTCTGTGACTTGTTTATTCTATATAAGACTTTTTCTATGGGTTTAATTGCAGACAAGGAGAGGATTACATGGGATTAAAGGTTGAAGATGAAGTAAAATAAGAAAGTAAATCTTTTTGAAAGATTTTGAGTTCTGTGTGAAATAAAACTTGATGTGTAAATAGGGATGATCAAAATATCTCAACTCCACGGGTCCTCATCCGATTCTTTAGGGATGGTTTTTTTTTTTTTAATTTTGAGGTTTGGGGCGGGCGGGTTATATACTAGGTAGGTTCGGGCGGGACGGAATCGAGTTTAAGGTGAAAAATCATCAATCTGACTCGATTCGGTATAAAATATATAAGATTTTAAATATTTTTATTTTTATAATGTTAAAATATTTTATTTAATATTATAAAGTATATTATTTTAATAATTTGAAATATAATAAAACATTATAAAATATATTATTTTAATTATTTAAAATATTGATATATTCAGACCAGAACAGGAAAAAGTTTAATTCATCCCGTCTCGTGTCCATCCCTACGTGTAAAAGTATTATTGGAGGAGCACGAAGTGAGGCACACAAAGATACAGACAAAGAGACGTAGGTTTTCAGTTCTCAATTATCGAGATCGTCAATCAAATGACATGATCGAATAAAAAAAATAACACACGTTTTGTATTGTAAAATATAAAAAATGTAAAACTATCCAAATAAAAAGAAAATTAATTTTTATATATTTAGAACCAAATATTGATTTAACCCTGGAAGAAAAACGACACAATGAAAGGTTGCCCAGCATTACAAAGTTGAAATAAGCATTTAAGAAAACCGGTTAGACACTAGACCTTAAGTCTTAAAATTTATTTTACTCTTTCATTTATGAACAACGTAACAAAGCATAGAGGTGGGTAAACTCGACTCAAATTCAAAATTTGATTTTTTTATTTGACTTGATTCGAAAAAACTAGACTTAAATTGACTTCGAGTTAAAATTTTATAAACTCAACTAAGAAAAATCAAATTCTAGTCGAGTTATAAAATAAAACTCGAATAACTCGAATAGTAACTCAACTTTTAGTAATTAGTGAATCGATTTTCAAGTTTGAGCCGAGTTTTTCGACTCTTTATGATATATGTATATCACGTATGAAAAAACATAAAGATATATATGTATTGTATATGGTTATAGAAAACCGTTTAAATTATAATCAAACAGTGTCATAATAATAAATATTTACAATTAAATTTAGACAGAAACTCGAGCAACTCACCTCAACTTAAAAAAATTTCAAATCAAATTTGAGTTATAAAATATGATTCGCCAAGTCGAATAGCTCGATTTTTTTTACTCGACTTGATCGAAGGCACCCTCAAATTAAAGCGTGTGAGATTGAATTGGAGAAATGGATGAACATAGTAGTAGTAGTAGTAGCCTTTTTAACCCCAAGAATACATTCCCATGGCTGACTTGGAAATTCATAATTTGAAGTTTCAGCATCAAAGAAAGAGTCTTGGTCTGCTCTCACAAATTTATAAGCAAATGTTTATATACATACTCTCCACCTACTTTCCACACGCTGATTTACTCGGTTTAGCCGCGCCCTTTTTATATCCCCAACTGGTCGGTGTCTGTCTGCCCACAACAACCCCATACTTTTCTTCTAACATCGGATGCCACTTCTCGCTATGTCTGTTCCCACTTCACCAGCGCCGACCAGTAGGGTTCTAAGTGATGCCAAAACGCCACCTCGTTGGATTCCTTTACGTGGCCAAGTCCTAAAGACAGCCCTCAAACTCGTCTTTGCTTCCTGTCTCTGCCGCAATGAACCTTCTTCCACGAAAAGCATGGTGGTTCCTTGTTGAGATTTCTTTCTCGTTTTAGGGTAAACAAATGTGAAATAAATGATTTGATTTGGTGTTTGGGGGGGGAATAGATTCTGTATGTCAATAATGGCTCCTTTCTGTAGAAAAAGAAAAACGATTTTGTGTAATCCATTGTTGTGTGATTCTTTAAATATTAAATTGCAATCATCCTAAGTTATTCAAATTATATTTAATTATAAATATTTATTATGTTTTGAATTATAACCCAAACTTTCATAAAATTAATGCAGATTTACATTACATCATGTATAGGTACAATTTGGGTTATTTGTAGAAAGAAAGGCAACGTCATGGGGGTGGTAATCAGGTGCAGGTGGTCACCATATTTTACGTCCGAGAAAAAATAAATTTTTTGAATAATCTATAATGATTAGAAGATAATTTTTATTTATATGATTTTAATAAATTGACAACACGGGTACATTTTGTAAATTCAGAATCTCTAAAATAAATAATATTTATTTAAACACTAAGATCACTCGACACGAGGAAAGTTAAATGGTGCCATAGGTGGCACGATTTAATTGGCTACATATAGCTGGGAATTCGTTTGAAGAAGTAATGCTTTGACCCAGTGTCAATATGCAGAGTTTGACGGAGCATTGGTCAACTTGATGACGGCAGTAATTGTTGAGTTCATGTTTTAAACAATTCAAATGATTCTTGAAATATTAAATATAAACAAATCCATTAAAATATAATATTATTTCATATATAGATTATATAAATTTCATATTAATATTATTGTAAATGATAAATCAATTAATTTTACTACATTTTTATTTTGAACTTTAAACATGTTGCATCTAAATAAAAATTATTTTTTCTTGTTTAGTTTACTTTTAGTTTTTAATCAATTATCATATTATCTAGAGTGAGTGACGTACATTAATACGCACCATTAATGATGTGCATCGATATGCATCATTAATATAAAAATATGATAAAATTCATAAATGATCATTAAATTTATTAAAATGATTTTATTTTAATAAAAATGCTAGTTTAAATATTTTAAAAAACATATCATTCCCTACCTTAATTTGTAATATACCAAAAATAAATTTATATGTGTACCTGTAATTTTGTGGGTGTTGAGTATCCAATTCCTTTGGACTTTTAGTTGGACCTCTCTAATTAGCATTGCCCAAATTTAGGATGAATCTAATTAACATATCCTAATCATTTGATTCTTCTACTCACTTTGGAGTTGGATTTGGAGAAAGCAAACCATCTTCATAACCCAATCTTTTTCTTCATGAGAGAAAAAAAATGGAAGTCAATGGTTCGTCGAAGAAGATGATAGCAACCCAAGCGGAGATGGTGGAGAACAAGTTCCCCATCCCATACAGAGATCAATGTGCTCATCTCCTCATCCCACTCAACATGTGTCGCCAATCCGAGTTTTACTTGCCTTGGAAATGCGAGAACGAACGCCACTCCTATGAGAAGTGCGAATACAAGCTCGTCATGGAGACGATGTTGCAGATGCAGAAGATCCGTGAGGAAGAGGCCAAGTTCAAACAGGCTGGGAAACATGGCGCTTCTATTCCCCTCGTTCCTAAAACTGCTAATGCTTAAGCTACCTCCATGGTCTGTCAAAATTTCTCCGTTTTTCCCCATTTAATTTTAGCCATTGGGTGTTTGTTGATTGACGTTTCCCTGCTTAATTTGTTGATGGGTTCTTTGATTTTGTATTTAGTGGTTTTAAAGTTTGAAAATTTTGGGACTTTTTGCTACGTTAAATTGCGCTATTTGAGTGTTTTAGGGATTTGTTTATGCTGTTAAATGCTCAATAGACAATTTGCTTTATGGTCTTATCAATGAAACTGGAGCGTTTAACTGTTTAGATTTTCCCGTTGGATATGAAAGTAATGAATTTGACACTCTGGTACTCCACTATCAATACTGGTTATGTTATCTTCTGATAAGGGACTCCTTTTCCTTTGGCCTATTAAGAAGTAGGGTGTAGAGACTTTGGGGTTTATTTTGTTTGGCTCTTGTGATGTTTGATTGGAAAGAAAAGGTAAACTGGAATGTACCCATATCAATTGATTTGTGTTTGGGGTCTATCCATTCATGGTATTTTGTTTGGTTTAGCATTTCATTTTGAGGATTTTTGAGTTGGTATTAGGTTGTTCTTACCTAATGATTTGGAATGTGGTGGGGGGATACTTGTGAGATTCAGCACAACACACATTCTGGATAATCTCTATACTCGGTTTGAATAAGACTATGCATAATCATGTGATGGCTTTGCAAGTGTCTTTTGGTTCTTGCCTTGGTGTATGAGATTGAATATTATACTTTACGAGGAATTGGATATATTTGTGATACTCTTTTTAGTTTCCTGTAGATGGGTTTTGATTAAGGCTGTAAACAATCATGCGATGGCTTTGAAAGTGTCGTTTGGTTCTTTGGTAGTTTGGTTATTGAGATGGGTTTGGTTAAGACCATGAACAATCTCATGTGATGGCTTTGGTTATTGGTTAATGAGATTACATATTATATTTTGCATGGAATTGGATGTATTCATGATACTCTTTTCAGTTTCATGTATGTTATTGTTGCGTTGCGGTGCATGCAAAAAGGTTGGGTTTTATGTTATAGTTCTTTTATCTCGATGAATTAGTAGTAGGCTTAGCCAATGGAACTAGGTTGATTATGGTTAGTGCAATCAGGTAAAATGGAAGTTTAACAGCAGAGAACGAGGTTATATGTTCAGATCCGACAAAGCGGAATGCTGCAGTTATTTCCTTGAATCACAATTTAAATGAAATATCCTGGGAGGTCTGGGATAGTAAATTAATAATAGTGCTGTTCTAAATCCAAGTTATGGCCTTCTATTTTGAGCATGAAAGAAACATGGTAAAGATTTGAGAGTACTCTATAAGTTCTAGCTACCCATTTGTGAAATCCGAGTTGATGGAAGTGTTGGGTTAAAATTTGAGAGTGCTCTAAAAGTTTAGGGAATATATCCATTTCTTGGGTATAATCTTTGTAGAAAATATTGAAGCAAACATAATCGAAGCTAAGAAATATCATATTTTCAAATTCTGGAAGCACAATAATGTCATGCTCGGAACAATGCCTAGATTAAAAGCTCAAACCCGACACTAGTATAATACTCCCAAGTATAGTATTCCTAAGTACAAATTCTAATAGTCGAAGACGAGTTTGGCTGAAAGTTGTTATGCCCTTTCTTTGATGAAGTTTAGTTGTCGTCAACTGATATAAACTTCCGATTTTCGGATTAATTTTGTCTCAGAATTGGTTTAATGATTTCTTTTTTTCATTCTCCATGAGTTGTGCTTATAATACCTTTGTTTAAATACATGGCAGGAAGGTTTAAATTGGTTTGGTGGATGTTTTGATGTTGGTCTCCAGTGTGAGGGAAATTTGAAACTGTTTGTCGTCGACAAATGTATGGACATTTCTTTTCTGATATTTCATCAGCTCATTAACTTTGGTTATGGAATAAAGTTGCACATGAAAGTTTACATGTTCTTTCCCTTATTTACGCATGAATTTTTTGTTAAAAAGTATAATATTATATATAAAATTTAGTTTTGTACAATTATATACCTGAAGTTTTGATCAAATTATTAGAACGTATATTAATGTGGCATCATTTTACGTTTACATAGGGTGTAAATAAAATGTTCTTTCGGTGAACTGTTCGTGTAACATTCGTTTATGTTAATGTGTTAAGTTAAATAAATGAGTATGAATAAAATTTTTATGTTCATTTAATAAATGAACGACGGACAGATGTGTTTCAATTCGTTTATATTCACGGATAAGCTTGTTTACCTACTCGTTCCTTTATGTTCATGAATAAGTTCGTTTACTTTTTACTTTTTTATTGGTGAATATAGGGATTAAATTGAACATATGGTAAAATTTGAAGTTTAAAGATTGTATTTTATTATTGTTGTGGATGTTAAATAAGATTTATTTAGTTGGTTTTGTTTAATTTCTCAACATGTTTTCGAATGCCAAATGAATATGTTCGTGAACTTATAAATGAACACTAAACAAACATTAAATGAATATGTTCGTGAACGTTAAATGAATATGTTTGTGAATGCTTTTAGGAAATAAAAAATCTCAGTGATAATATTTCTCTCTACATATATAACTACTTAAATTCAAATTTTTTTAAGAATAATAACAATTCATTTTACCGTAGAGGTTATTCAATGATTTCTTCAATATTTAAATGTAAAATAATTACACACTTAAATTTACGATCTTTTAAATATTATTTTGAATAGATCATGTTTCAATTAAAATAATAAAGTTATATATTATTTTGAATTATGATTTTCTTTTTTGTAAATTACTTGGTAGTAGTAATGTTTTGGAGTTGATCTTAGTCTCACACTTGAACAAATAGAGAACATATACTCTCTTTTTTCTCCCAATTTGGAGTTCTACTAATATAACTACAAATAAATAAATAAATAAATGAATTTGTGAATTACTATTTTTTGGTTGTCCTTTCGGTTTCAATATTTCATCTTGATTAATCCGGATCGATTCAGGTCGCACAACTGACTGTGGTGGGTGAGTCTTCTAGCGAGGATTTTCTACTTACACGAAGACTCGAACTCAAAACCTACTTAAGCGATAGTAAATTGGTTACCATCAAATATGATTATTTTCAAAGTATAAAACGAATATAAGAAAAGAAAATTGTATTGGGGTGGTGTGGTATAATTAATTAGGTCAAAAAAGAATGTGAACAAATGAGTATGGTTTAAATTTTAATGCATGAAATAACGATACTTTATGGTGGGCAATTAGGGATACGTGTATTATGATTGATAATAAAAAGGATGTTTATATCTAATCTATTAATCAATTAATCTATATTAGGTCATGCAAATGCCCATTACAAGAGTAACCGTCCTAATCCAATTTGTTGCATTCACAATGTCATGATTTAACACCTAATCTTACTTAATAAATCTAATGTTTTATCTCGTTAAACTAACTAATTGTTGATTTTGTTTTCAATTTTCTGAAATTATAAAATACATTTGATTGTCTATTTTATTTTAACAAAAACATGCTAAATAAAATAATTTTTTAATATATTTATATAGATTCGAATCATCTCATAGATCTAAAATTATTGAAAAAAATATATTTATATGTTTACATGAATTTAAATTTGAATTAATTCATTAAGTTTAAATTCATTTTTTAAAATTTTACAAAAACAAATTAGTGAAAATAATGAAAGATACATTTCTTACAAAAAAAATATTTTCGCCCCTTAAAAGTTGTTTTTAAATTTTAACTAAACATATTTTTCAATGGTTTTTAATATTAAAAAATAAAAACGATTTATGTTTACTAAAATGAAACGAGTTAGTATCTTCTTTAAATAAAATTACCTTTTTTAAATTATAAATATAATAAATTTATTAAAAATAATTATATTCTAAAAATATAATTTAAATATTTACAAATTAAAAAATTAACAATTATCAATGATAGTTAATTATCAGTACAAATGAAATTGAATTATCATTATTACATAATAAATATATTTTTATACATAGTTTTTATATTGAGATAATATTACTAAATTAAGTAATATTAATATGAAGAAAGTACTTAAAATATATGATAAGTCCTAAATAAAATTAAAAAAAATAATTTTTTTTATTAATCTGGGATAATTACAAGAAAATGTTTTTTCAAATATAACTCTCAACCTCTCAATATTGACTCACATTACTGATATATATAGTATTTGAATTCGGATCCTCAAAGAAAACAACAATTTCTTTACCAAAGATACTACTTGATTCGTACAAAAAAAAATTCTAAACGTTGAAAGAGTAGAAGTTATTTTAACCCTATTATTATTCATATGCTAATGAGTCGAATTTGTGTGGGTATAATCACTATTTTACCTTTTTTTATTAATGATTAAAATTAAAAGCGAACACATGATTTTATATTAAAATATATAAATTTTTGATAAAAATATAAAAATATTTAAAATATATAAAATTTAAAATTTAAAATTTTTAAAAAATAACTATCTCATCTCTCCATCTTCAATTGATCCCTTAAAACCCTAGCAAGCTCTGCAGCTGACACGATGATCAGCAAAATTTTCCTTCTATACAGATTCTGAAAAATCACATCCAGGGATTAAATATCAACTGGTCTATTATAAAATTCTTTTATTTTTAGTCAAAAATTGTTTTGTTAAATATATGTTTTTATTTATTATTAATAATATATAAAATATTAATCCCCGATTTATAGGTAAGAAGCACTATTTAAGTTGAAATTGTAGAACAGAGATAATGTATTATCCCCTGTTTTTTACGGGAAAAAACGAATTACTTTTCATTTTCCCGAAGATGAAATCACCAAGTCTACGTCACGTTACTTCCTCTAGTCTTTAGCTTCACGATTTGACTATTCTTAAGACGTATGTTAAGATAAACTTAAATAAATGTTGCCCATAATATTACAGTAATGCCCTTTTAAAATGATATTCTAACAATATTATTGATTAAAATAACATTTTTTTAGATAAAAGAATCAAACAATCTCGAGATAAACAATTTATTTTTATTTTATTAAGTCTTGAATTTAAGTATCATGAATCAGAGGTGAAATTAAGAATTAGTTAAAGTGAGGTTAAAGTATTTTTTATTTTTCATAAATCTAATATTTTAAAATTTGTTATGAGTTTGATAAATTTTCTTCATTTATTTATTTTTAAATATATATATTTAATATTAATTAATATTTTTAAAAAAAATTGGGGGCCAATGCTTCTGTTTTACCCTATGAAGATTTGCTCATGTCATTAATGTTAAAAGTGTTTGCGTTCAATATCAAATGATTGAGAATTATTTTCAAACATATATTATCTTATATTTAACGTAAATTAATAATAAAAAAATTTGGAAAAAAGTTACTTAGACTCTTGTATTTATAAAAGAAAAATCGATGGCATTTTCCATTTATGTTTTTATGTATATTTTTTACTAAATTTTTTTTGAAAGACTTATTTTTAAAGGCTTGTCTTTATCTACGCAATAAGTTATTTATATTGATGTCACTCACGATTAAAATGAAATAAGTAGAGAATATTGTGTTAAAAATATAAAAAAAAAATTATAAGAATTATTCAAAAAGAAACAATACACGTCATTTGTGTTAAAGACATGTACTAAAACAAGTACGGATCAATCAAATGACGGTAGCAACGCGTATGTATAGTCCTTACTTTCAAATCCAGTGCATGTTATAATAATATATCTAAACAATCTTAAACTTGATCATAAAAGACGATAATTTTAGATATTAAAATATTGAATATTTAAAAGAAAATAATTTTTTAACTATCATACTAATACAAATTTGATCGAATTAAAAAACTATTTAAGACAGATTAAAAACAAAATTTTTGTTATAATTTTTAAAATATTATATTGTTTGTATAAGATTTTTAAATAGTGAAATCAAATGTCATAAAGTATTGATATTGTAATATTTATTGTTGAATGTAGAGGTGATTATACGGGTTACCCGCCTGTTTAGTCCGCGGGTTTTGATGGTGTGAGCTTAAACAGAATAGTTTAAAAAGCTCACAATCATAAATAATTTTGAATGTTAAGGCCCGCGACTCATACCATTTAACCTGCATGCTAAACGGACTTACCCGTGACTCGTGAGTTTCCTTTTCCCTTTCAATTTCTTTTCCCTTTTATCTTGCGTTGTCAACGACAGATTCTCTGTCACTATCTCTGAATTGGCTTTTTCACAAAGAGATGGTAAATCTGAGCTCTGGTAAAATCAATTCAACTTCTTCTGTTTCTAATTTTGGATTTATTTCATTATCGTTTCCGTTGCTGGGTTTTTTTAAAAAAAGTTAATTTTGGTTTATAATTGAATTGCTCTACGGGTTTTCTTTCTAATCTCAGTGTAAAAGATTTATTTTCTTGCATGTGTTGGGTTTTATTTATTTATAATTTGTGGAAAAATTCAATCGTTTTTTTATTTTATATAAATTTGGGTTGTTTTTATATCATCTCTGGATCAGCCTGGGTTTCCAGTTTTCTGATTCTTCTGTTTTTAGACTTTGAATAATAGAATAATAAGAAAATAAAAAAAAAAACGAAGATTGGGATTTGAGTTAGTTGGTGGGTTCTTTGCAAAATAACTAAAGTTTTAACATTGGATTGAAAACTGCAATTCGATCGTTGAAAAAATTTGGGGGTTTTCTTGACTTTTACATATTTAAGTAAGATAGTGTTAATTTATTTTAAAATCCTATTAAGTAACTAACTAGGCTTCTTAGTACCCCTCAATTCTCTAGCGTTTTCATAGTTCCTCATAGCTTCGGCTATAGATGATTACTTGAGGTCATGTCCTTCTTTTAGATCCCATAGGGCGTATAGGGGAGAGCTCGACAGAGTGCTGCCAAGGAGACTAGACTTAGAGTTTGTTCGTTGAATGTAGGCACA